CACTCAAAGCCCCAATTTAATGCTCTGCACAGTCAGAAGGACTAAATATTAGAAATATTTGGACGGGAACTGGGCATCGGACAGAAAACAGCCTCTGTTGATGTTCAGATCTGTGTGTGTGTCCCCTGCCACAGGACCAGAGGGGACAAGAAGGGTGACTGCCAGCGTTGCGAGGGACAAACCTTGTGTGTCCCACGCTCCTTCACGAAGCACCGGCTGCTAGTCAGGATCGGGCAAAGCCAAGAGGGATAACACAGACCCTGCTCTGACCCGGCTGCTGTTCTTATGTTAATCAAGCAGAAAATCAACATCAGATGTCGTCCAAGACGTAGGAGAACGCGTTCGTTGTGCAGGCTGTGGGCAGCAGAGGAAGCTGGCAGGTGACAGCATGGCAGTTCCCTGCCTGCGAGGAGGCAGCTGGTGTTTGGAAAGAATAACTCGGAGGCGCCAGTCTGACCCTTTCACCGCAGCGCTGGAAGTGGCTGGGATATCCAGCCAAGGACTGCGTTTACCCTGGAGCGCTCCGCAAACACCTCCCGCAGCATTAGGAATTCCCACGCACAGAGCCAGGCCAGGAAATTACTCTAAACCTTAAGTTTTTTGAGCAGCCAAGTGCCTAAAACCAGGACTGGGAGACTCTTTCCTTGCCCTAAGCTACATAGGAGTGGTTCAGGATGGGGCTGGCTGTTGTGCGGGGCTGCGACTCCGGGAAGGGGTCGATCACCTTCACTGGCTGGTCCTGAGCCTGGTCGGGCTGATCTCCTCCTTTCTCTTTCTTCCGTTTGGGTTTCTTTTTCTTCTTTTTGGCTCCGCTGTCATTTGCTGGACTCAAGCCGCTAAGGAACAAAAGAAACATCATTGGAACCTTGGGTTTTTCTTTTGGAGAACATTTATAGAGTTTCTGAAGCTCTCTAAAGAAAATGCAAGCTCCCTGCTCTGAGTCCAAGTCTCCAGGAGAAGGAAATACCCAGTGCATGGGGGTGCAGCCACGCATCCTCTCTCCGGCATCCCTCCCAGTGGTGAGCTCCCAAAAGTGGACCAGCACCAACATTGCCCACCCCGCAGGTTTGCTCGGTGGTGGGGAGCGAGCCCTGCACTGCAGGTGACCACATCTTTGCCATCACATCACCCCACTCAGCCCCACATGCCCAAAACCACCCCGCAGAGCGGCAGCGATGCCCAACTTAGGGTTTTTTCTCCTCTCTAAGCCCAAGGATGTACATGGGAGCAGCAAATGCTGGTCCAGCCTTGGAGAGAAGGCACCATAGCAGGTCCAGGCACTACGGAAGGACCAGTGGCCAAGGACACTGAACCCAATGTCACCCACCTGCCGAGGTAATGATCTAGGGAGACAGGTAGCTGTTGTATCGGAAAATTATTATATTGTTATGTGGGAGCTAGAAAAACGAGACCGAGCAGCAAATCTCTTTGGAAGCGCAGCGGGGGAAGTGCCTGCATCAGGGCACTTCTCCTCCTTCCAGGGATGCAGGGCAGCCCTGGACATCCGGATGATAATCACCCCAATGCAGCCGCAAGCATGAAACCCCACACTGAGCCCGACCTCGCCAACGGGCAAGTCTGGCAGGGACCTGAAGCCAAAACACGGGAGAGGCGCCTGCCCCAGCACGGCATACGTGATCTCACCCCTGCATGAGCCATCCCGATGCGGGAGAGGCGATGTTACTGCTGTGGAGCTGGGGCAGCCCAAGCTGGGACCCTCCCTGCCAACAGTCCCCAAAACAAGGTTCAGTCTGCAAGAGGGTGATGGGTGAGGTCGAAATTCAACCCCAGAGACAGCTGGAGCGGGACCGAACAGACGGATGAGAGAGGAAAAGAGGGGGACACTGGGCCAGGGGTGCTTTACCAGTGGCCAACACGCACGAGGGGTCTTCTGCAAAGCAAGCTGCGGGGGCGGCGCGTAAGCCACCAGCGTCGCTCAGCTCTGTCCTGTCCCTGTTGGTAGCAACAAGTTTGTTTTGTAGTAAAACCGCAGCATCTTTCCTCTTCTGTTTTCACCAAGGACGATAACCCACACCTGGCTTGACAGGGAGAGGACGGAGCCATGGAGAATCCTGGGTGGGAGCTGCTTGTTGCATCAAGCGACACATCCACAGCACCTGGACCATCAAAGCCCATCACCAGCCGGCACCATCACCCAGAACAGCGGCTCTTGGCTGGAAACTGGTACAAGCTCTGTGGGACTGGGTCTGCCCCACCTGCCCCAGGGACCCCAGTCAGCCTGGATGCCATGGGACATGTCCCTGCTCTCCTGCACCCAGGAACCTCGTCCTCTTCTTTCCCCAAATCTCAGCTCGAGGATCCAAGCTGGTATATTGTTTTACTCTACGATACAGAGGTGGCTCCTTCCTTGCACCCCACTTTCACAGCGGGGACAACGACACAGCTCTGATCTGCCCCGAGGCAGATGGTAAGCTGAGGGCACCAGCCAGCCTGGACCCTCTCCGAGCACCGCTTGATCCTGGACCAGCTGAATGTCTTCACCAAATGCAAGATAGCGGTGAAGAGGGTGGAGCAGAGAAAGGAAAGAAGAAACACTCTGGAAAATATGTTGGAGCAGCATTGAACTATTTATTTCAGCAAGGCCAGGAAAAGGAGAGAGTTGGGAGGGGAATAAGGTTTAAAAAAATCCCTGGACTGAGCAGCAAGTGAGTTTTGAAACCAGGGAAAAGTGGATAGAAAAATGTTTTTTTGAGGGATGAAGCCAGGAGGGCTGGGTGTGGGGATGCCTGCAGACGGTGAGGCCGCCGACGCTCGTGGTGCAGAAACCCGATGTGACAGGCAACCGTCACCCTGCAGAGCAGTGACATCTGGTTTGCAGGACACGGAGTGGCTGAGCTGAGGAAGGCTTTCCTCCGGACAAAACCTGAACAGCAGCGGAGATTCTGGCATTTGCTGGGGAAAAAGATTCCTGTCTATCGGCAGAGCCGATGCATGAAGACAAAGACACCAAGCGTTTGCTCACCAGCATGGGGAACAAGCAGTCACGCAGGTCAAGCTGCTTGGCAAACAGGGGCTCGATGAGAAGCCCCGCTCTTCTCCAGAAGCGCTTTAAGCACTTGCAGCGGAGCAGAGAGAGGAGCAG